AAAATCGTGAAATTCATTTGGTAAATCATTGACAACAATTTAAATCCACATTTTAATAAAAATTATTTCGGGTATTAGTTTATGCCGTCTCTCCGTTACAAAACAAAAAAAAATTCAATGGAGCTCCGTCGCTCTGCCCACCCCCTCCCCATTTCGAGTACTGCACCATGTATTAACACGTGGGAACTGCTTAATAGGAGTCTATAGGTATGATGCCGTATAGTGTCGTGATGTGAACTTTCTGGGTCAAATCGAGAGACGGATGACAGGGCGAGTATACGCCGCACACACATTATACATATATTTGTATATGTTACCGTCAATGATGCAATTTAGGTAATAACATGAATTCCTAGCCAATATAATTAATTCCCAACACTATATAGTAGACGATATTATCGTCATTGGCTATAGACATTAACAGACGATATAATTTAGGCAACGTTGTAATAATCAAATATTTTGTTAATACGCATTTGTAATTATGAAATTCCCTTAATACTACTATTGGTAGAGAACGATGATAATTTATTTCGTTTAATAAAATATTTAAATTGAGTTAGTAATTTAAAATGACACTGAGAATTCGGTCGACTATAATATATTATAATTATATACAGAGTGTAACCACAGAAAGACATGGCAAATGGAATAACTTGGACCCGTGTTTCTAATTCAACAAGCAAATCCGATAAACATTTGTTTGGCTGAAAAAAGCCGGAATCGCCTACTTGCGTAATAATTACCTAGGAAATGTTACAAGACGAGCATCATAGTCTGAAAATAATTCATGTACACTCCGTGACACCGTTGACGTTAATTCTTTAAGTCTTTGGTGGTCACATATATAATATGATGTACCTATACATATATGTAACAACAATAATACTTATACAACTAGTATGTATAATAGCGTTTCAATAATATAATATGCGTAACACGCTCGCATGCACAGATGGCTAAATCAGACGCCAGCCATACATATATCACGTATGGTATATAATATTATTATTGTATTAAAAATAACGATAGTAATAATTTTAATAATACCGTAATACACAAAACGACCCCTCTCACGAAATTGTCGTATATATGTAGGTATATAACTACCCGCAGGTATTATATTTTATATTATATTACAGCGGTTCTCATACTTTTTGTTCGCGGAGACTTATGTTACTAAAAAAAAAAAATTGCGGAGCTCCAAAATTCAGAAATGTCTATTTGAGGCAACAATAATGCATAAAAAATTATGTTAATTATAAAAAATATGTGGATTCATAAATAGTTTACAGTTTAAAACGTTTAAAATAATACATATCGGTAGGCATTGTCCAAATAATATTGAATACAAGTACAAAAATTAAAAATGTTACTAAGAAATATAATAATAATTGAATAACTTGAATTTAATCAATACAGATAATATATACCCAGGGAGCTACAGAGCTCCTAGCCTACTCTCGCAGTTTGAGAACCGCTGTTACATTACATACAAAAGCATAATTTAAACGAATGGGGAGTGCGCCGCAAAAAAACAGTAAAACTTGAAATTTCGGACTTGACGTACACTATTATATACACGGGATGGCCAAACTTTTTTTGATTTTGAACTTCTGAGAATCGACTATTGTAAAAAAATATTGTATTTTTAATTTCAAGTCTTTTTCACTTATATTCATAATAAACATATTATTACAAATGATAAAATTGAAGTGTAAAATTATCTAAAAATGAGTGTTTCACACATTACATATCTTAATTATTTCAAAATTAATTAAAATAAATACGGTTTGCGTAGAAGTGTGTCATACACGTATCTACCTATCGTTGACCAATTAGTTAATTATCTAATCTGTGGAAGAGGTATAGTCGCTAACTGCGAAACGATGTCGATGCTTTAAATGATCATCAAAAATCGTAGCTATGTTTTATTCAGCTTTTATAGCTTTCTTGTGAATAAATACCATTTCACACAAATAGATTAATCTGAAATATTCAAATATTTAATTGTATCTACTTGATGTATAATAATAAAGTTCTAACAAAGGGGGATCGACTTTGAAAACGTTCAAATCTTCTGTTTTGCCACCCCTGCCACCTAATACATAATATTACGTAGGTACGAAATCGTCTCGGGACCCCCAGGCACACCTCTGTGGGTGATATAATCCTTCCACCCCCCCCCCCATCTCGACACCGTATTCGGTCATCGTCGGGCGGACTCGTCGGCGGACCATACACAATATATATAATATTAGCATTAGTAATACATATATGATATACGTACGTGTTTATCGTGTAATCTACCCGCTGGCCGCCGTTTTCCATCCCTGACCTGCGCGCCATTCCACTCTGCGACCAGTCCAATGTACACATAACCTATATTATACATGTAAACTACACATGTATTCGTATACACGCACTTAAGCACACATCATACGCGTACAATGACCGAGCCACAGACACATATAATGTCATAATACAATAGAATAATACGACTAGACATTGCACAGCCGACTTGACTTTAATGTCGAAGTCGGTCAAATGGCTGCAGACGGTTCCGGTCAAAGAGTTCCGCGTTAATTGAAATTCGAAACATTATCCTAGGGGCCCGGGGCTGCAGCCTCCCCCCCCCCTGACACCCTCCGAGTAGGACTCTGCTCGCACGGACCGACCCGGCCCGGCTGCAGGAATGATGATATCGCCTACTTTATGCGTCGTTACAGCTGAGACAGAGCAGGGGGCGCGACTGAAGGACCGACGCACAGCTCACGCAGCTGGTCGATGAGTATAAGGCCCACGGATGCTGGTGTAGGAAGTCAGCGGTCTAGTGGTATTGTTTAAGTCTGTGTGGATCGAGTACATTTCGACGGGGATGCGCGGCCGACCACGAAGACGATAAATCGTCGTGACATTTTCCAGCCGATTTACATATTATTATATTATTCAACTGTGAGCGCGTATAATATATCGTACGATATTGTCATGATGACTCAATAGCTATCATAGTCTATATAATATCCTCGGTATATCATATGATAAAAAAAAGTTTTACCGCCCCTGGTATATACCCGCGAGTGTGTCTGTGAGGATGTGCGTGTGTGCGTGTGTGTGTGTGTGTATATTGACTACTATAATACAATATATATTTTGAGGATATTGGAAGTGAAAACGGAAAAGCGACGCTCGTCCGTCTGTCGCTGGGTCGGGTGTTAAATTTAGAACCGTTGACTAAATCCGGCTCGTGCAACGGTATATGCCGATGTCTAAAAGCGGATACCTTCGTATGCTGTTTGACGTATTGGAATAAACGTCCAGAGATGAACATTTCAACACCCGCCTATATCGTATTATATGTTATTCGTATATTTTTTTTTTCATTCTACGAGGGGTACTATACCACCACAATCGTATACACGTGTGTGAATAGGTACGTATGTATATATAAAAACACATCACTGCATCAGACGTCGCCAGTCGACGGTACGCTATCGCAGCCCTTATAATATTAGTTCATGGGCAGAGTGATTTCGATTCAAATTTTTCTGAAGACATTATGTAGGTACAACAATAATATAATTGTTTTTTTTTCTCCAAATTTCGAATACGGCGGCTTTGCTGCTAAAAAATAATACGCGAATAGAATAGGCGTATAGGTTTAATCAAATCCGGAAAACCGTACATTTTATTGCATCTGCTACCCCTCCCCTGCAGGCACCCGTTCCGATCGAATGGTGTATTTATAGAACGTAAATAGATGTCGGTCGTGAATCCGATCGAATTCATCAATTGATAACGGTCAAAATAGCTGTAATATCGCGTAACCATAGTTTTTAATATTTATGTGGGTGCCTGCAGTGTAAGTCATTGTTGTTGTGAACGAAATGAATCGATTTCAAGTGCGTTATCGAGAAAAACCGGAGCCGAAGAGACGACCTTTTTTTCGGCCAACATTCATTAATTAGTCCGTTATTACTTTACATACACCATCGGACGTAGTGGGATTACATAGTGTTCGCACCGTGTGCAAGTCATGGCCGTTGCAGTCTTTCGCAAGACGCGTAATATGATAATATATTGTGCATACAGAGTGCGATGATCACCGCTTATCATAATAAATCACGGGTACCGGTGGCAACCAGTGGCGTGTAATATAATCGCTTAGAGTACTGCAACAGCACATGTATATTATATAGGTACAGACCGAAAGTGTAAATTGCACCCACATATAGGTACGCGAAAATTACCATCACGTATTTATACTGCACACTGTGCACCCACATATATATATATATATATGTATATACGTATTGCGTAACTACGGGATTTGGCGGTTACTGGTTAATGTATTTAAAAACGAAAAAACACAATATTTTTTTTTAAATAATTTAATTAAGATAATATTTTAAAACCGCGAATAATGTAACGCACACCGTAGTATTCGATTGGTTTTACAAATCGAAAACCTGCAGCCGGAAATAAGTCTCGTTTGGACACAACAACAATAATATTATTGTTATAAAATATTCACTCGCCTGAATCATACGACGCATAATATTATGTAAAGCGTGAAAAAAGTATATAGGTGACATCAAAATGTAAAATTTGTGTGTTCGTGTTTAGAGTGCGTGTCAAGGAATAAAAATAAAAATTGCTCAGTAGGCGCACGCTGTAATTCAACAATAACAAAAATATAATAATAATGATTATGGAATAATTGTTTGATATACAAGTCAAAACTATTCTTCAAGCGTAGCTGCTATTTTTCCAATAATCTGTTCAACTGCCTATTTGGTCTGCTTGTTATCAAACGCTTTAGCAGTTCGTTTATTATTATATTATTGAACGCGTTTTAATAGCGATTCGTATTTATTTTTGTCCCACCCCCGCGCGATTTCGTCTGTCATAATATTTATTTTTTGCTACACAACAATATATGTTTAATGCGTCGGAACGATTTACTAAATTACAGTTTTATTGTTTGTTTTGCGGTATAGATCACGTGGACCGACGGCTCCGGCACAGCGATCGCCGAGGGCTTTGAGACGTACGTCGAGGCCATGGAGGCTGAGAGCAAACGGTTTACAACCAAGTCCATTTTGAAAATCGTACCGAAAATGGAACACCACAACACGTCAATATGGTGTCAGGCGCACAACTCGGCTGTTGACAAAAAGTTACAAACGAAAATCCATTTGTACGTCAAATTCGCTCCGAAGGTTAGTACTTGGCCAAACCGCACATTTATAATTTATTTTAATATATATATAGGGCGATTCGCCAAGCCGTATTCTCACCACCAACATCACAATATATACCCACGTCCGTTAATGAGTTTTAATTTTTGAAATTATTATGAAACAAGTTTATTATAATATCCAACAGCGCATATTTCCAAGTACTCGGAAATTATTTATGATTATATTATTATCGAGGGTGTTTATAATATTATTGTGTCTGCGGCATGGTGCAAACTTTTATCCATCATCAAACTGTTTCTTTTTTCCAAACCCAAATACTCGATCAAGTATATTTTAGTTTCAAGTTATTCTATTTTACCACAAGGATTAAAGAAGTCTGTTGGAAATCAGAATGTATTATATTATAAATTGGTATAGTTTTTGAACTACAATGGGATTATACATACGAGACTAAGTGAATCGGTCATATTTATTCAAATAATAACACGACCCGGATAGTTCGCAACAAAATATGAAATCTATTCGATGTTTTATGTACATAACCCTGAATATCTACAATATAATAAGCTCAAACATTCGTATATTGCAATCTTAATAGGGACATGAAGTAGGTCAGTAGGATTATAACTTATAAACTATTCGATAGTTGAATTTTCGATTTAGATGTATTAAAATTTTCGGAAAATTAGTATGCTTATAGAAATCTTTAGTGATGAAGAAAATGTATACAATTTCTGGAAAATCGTGTTTAGGAAGAACATTAAAGTGTAGTTGACTCAAAAATCTTAGAAATCTACAAGTGTTACCGCTTAGCGGTAGGAGGGGAAGGGGAGCAGTATAGTCATCTACAGTCAGTCAGTCAGGAAAAGTTCTTTTGTATTATATTTAATAAATATTATATAGATATCATATGATTGTACCTAGCTATTGATATATTTTCGCGAAACGTATTTCGAGACGACTTTGTATTATTGCTGTTTGTATACATTATTTTTTTTTTTTTTTGCATTTCGAGAAAACATTTCGGCAGCGCCAAGCTCGTGGCTTGATAGAACATAATAATATAATATATTATACGATGTACATCAAAATGGATGTATTGTTATATATTATATCAATGATCTATTCACTATTGTTACGAGCAAATGTGCACTATTATTGTAATCTCGAGAGGTTCGAGAAAAACGTTATGCTCTCAAATGCCCGTCGGCGGCGCAGGGACCGTCTCTTGCACAAGCACGCATTAATTTATACATGTAGAAGGGCAGAACAATACGGATAAGGTGTATGAAACATCTTTACGAGCATATCGTACGAAATATAATTCATAAATAGGTACGTGTGTACAGGTGTGGGTATATGTATACCGTCAGGGGTGTTAAAGCGCAGCTCTAAATAATTTTCCCCGAAACGGCACCAACTAATAAAGTTTATTATTATTTTTCTACGCACTCGCTCCTCACGCCCCACACCATTGCCGACAACACTACCCACACCGACAATATATGGTAGGTAGGTATACTACTAGCTAGTACTTACGTTTAACGTTTCACATAATATACTGTTTGTATAATGCAGTACTTCTGTATACATATATAATGTTTATTAAAAAAATATTGTAATCGCGCACATATGTAGGTACAGGGTGTTTCGTTTACATCGAGAACCGGACAACATCTTCTGAAATGTAATAGACATTCGTAATTATTAATCATATAAGTACATAAATCATTTATTTTCATTTCAATTCTTAATTTCAATTGTATAATCATTTTATTCAGATTAAACAAAAGTCAAAAGTATTTGTGGCCTTATGATTTTCTGAGACATTAGTGTCTACTTCACGATAAAATATGATGACTTGTTGTGTGACACAATACGTGTCTTGCACCTAATAAATTCTGTTCTAAGCTGGCTATAATATCATTTCACATAGTAATTCAAGTATACAATTTACAATACGATTCATTCTACTCCCAACACTTTTTTTCGGAACAGTAATTATTAAAAGTAAGTGGGCTTTTTTTAGAAATTACATTTTTGAAAACTAAGTATGGCACAAAACACAACTGCAACCCTAGCATCATATTTTGTAACTGAGTTATTATCACTTGTTTGTTGGTGAAACCACTGTAAACTTTTAAGTGTATATTATACAAGTATTGAATATCGATTGAACGGTTTTTTAAAAAAATGTATATTAACAATTTGAACTTCGGATAGAGAGTAGAATTTCGGATCACTGATTTTGATTCGCCCACTTATCACGAGTGTTCTTGTCTGACGGCTAAACTTAACCGCTTATTATACTAGCACAAAAACTTTTCATAATTCTCAAGAATACATAAAAACACCTTTAGATTATATAAAACTATAAGTATAATAATAATGTGGGCTGGTATCAAACACTTGTATCAACTGATACAAGGGTAAACAATGTAGTAGAAATAATATCGTGTAATTTATATATATATATAGATTATTTTTCAAATAACGAGTACTTACCTAAGTTCATCTTGGTTAAAAGAAACACCCCTACACGTTGTGTGATAATTTCAGGAAACCTATAGATTTTCTGCCTCTTGAAATACCGCCATAATTCTATCAAAATATAATATTCCATCCACCAACTGTCGATCGAAAACCAATAGCAAAACGATCGAATTATATACATATATCACATAATGAATTACTAATACGGGTATTCAGTAAGTACGTATTATGATCATAGGACCTATATTGCATATGCTGTTGTACACGCAACTGTCAGTTATATGGCACAAACAGTATACCTATCTACCGTTTCAAAAGACCTGATAAAAATCGTCGTTTTTGGAATTAATTAAAAATATTTTTTTTCTATCTACAACGCTGCTACTATATACAAGAGGCGAAACGAATGCAGATCGTCGTGTATATACGTACCTATGCGCTTATTGTATGGTGGTACGTTTTTTTTTTTTTTTTTTATCAGAGATTTAATTAATTTACGATTCATATATAACGCGGTGTTTGTATAAATAAATATATATATACACGTTTATCTTAAAAAATAAAATAAAAAATGATTCGAGATACAAATACAAATGCAAATTATATTTATACAAGTTTCTGTCGAGAGATCTGAAACTAATTAAAACACTTAATACCGTACGGCCGTTTATGAATTATACGAAGAAATTAAACTTTCTTGGGAATACATTTAAATTTTAACTGTTTAATATTATAATGTATACATATACATTATGCAAACACACATTTATACAGGGTGCGTATTTTATAGTGAATCTATCAATTTTCTAAAAACACAAGTTTAAATTTTCTTGTAGTATATATTTTTGTTATAAAAACATTATTTGGTAACAAAAATGATCGATTCGGATATTTTGTCTTTTATTTTTTGAGCGTTTTCTATTTATGTTGTACATTTTAAAACGAGACTTTGTTCTTAAAGTTTAGAAACAATAATAACTTGTAGTCCCATGCATATGTTGCTGTAAATGCCCAATTACTAGGTAAAGCTATAGGTTTTACTAGTTAATTCTAGGATTTATTGTTTGTACTCAGTAAAAACTGTAAATTATAAATTTATTTGGGCTTCTTCTAAACCCGTTGTAGGTATAAGTCCTATGATGTACAAATAAAGTTAGTAAAAGTGGACTAATAGAAAAAAAATTATAATTATATTATAATAGTATTGAAATTCTTATTAAAAAAAAAAATGTATTTTAAAAATATACAATTATTGTTATTAGTTAGTATAAAAGCTGATTAACACACAACTCAATGGTCAATCGAAAGAGCTAATCAAGAAATCGTCATTAAAAGTAACATATCACTAACTCTCAGAAATTTGTTTTAATATTATAAAATTTGAATTTTTTTATAGTGATAGGTACTTCGTAACTTGTGTATTTATCAGCTTTTACTAACTCAATTTGCAAAATTCTGGGATGTACACAACGTGTTTAGTAAAAACCTCTGATAAAATTATGGTTTTTAGCTCTTATACTGAGTACAAACAGTAAATCCTAGCATTAACTAGTAAAACCTTGCATTTCGGTAACAAACATGCATAATATATATATTGTGGCCATTCAACAATTCTCCAAAAGGGCAATTTGTACGTCGGACATCAAGTTATCACAAGGTCGCCAACCTCTAACCCAGTCCCAAAAAGCTAGTAGAGTAACGGGGATTTTGTTCGAGTTTCAAAACACGTAATATGGGAATAAAATCATACGTCTTTAATAATAATAAATAAAACTCTATGTATAGTAAGAAAAGGATTTTTATTTTATTTTTAAAGCCGAGAAAGCTGAACGGCATAAAACTCGGACTAAGAAAAATAGGTAGAGTGCAAAAGGAAAAATCAGTGTACCCCGTCATCGACTATATAGTCAATGAGTGTAAATAATAATAATAAAAAATCATAATACAACAAAACCTCTAGTAGACGCCGAGGTACACATTACATAATATACACAGTAAAAATAAAGATTTAAGTACCAGCCGGACTTACACATTACTATACAAATAAAAAAAAAACACACTCATCATCTGATGTGTTATTTGCCAACCGACGACGGTAAACCACCATGGCAGCGATTCGGTGGACCTCACTCCGTGTTTGTGCGCTTACAAAATATAAAATAAAGCTAGTGAGAAAACTTGTGATCGGTCGCCGGAGACGTCCGTCCAGTCGGGGAAAAGGAAAAAGAAGAAAACGAAATATGTCCTGTGTGCGATAAAGTAAACGGATAGCGGCGATTATCGTCACGGCCTAGGACTTCCTCGCGGACAACGGCTGCGGCGTCTGTGCCAAGGATGTATCCTGTATAACGGCAAGACAAACATATTGTGTGTGCTTAAGATATATATTATGTAAAAGCGCTAGTATCCGATGTGAATAATCGGAGGAAAAAACAGAATTTGCATTACACGTGACAATATTTATTAAATTATAATGACAAAAATATTGTCTATTTAAAATCGTCGTTTTTTTTTTTAAAACATCC